ATGCCCAGATCAGCCTTCCACAACAAAGAATTATCTAGCCCCAAATCTCAGTGTGGCCAAGGTTGAGAAACCCTGTTCTCTAGACTGTCAGGGCATAACAGTGTAAATCTAGGCAGTTTATCCTTACACTAATAGTATTTGAGAAGGGAATCCTTTTCCCCAATCTGTTGCCAACTCTGTATTTTATGAAAAACTTTTTAACATTTGTCAGTCTGTAAGCAGAAAAAGGACATCTCATTTTCATTTATATTTCCTCAAATACTAGGAAGGTTGAGCATATTTTCATTTTTTGATTAGCCAAATATATATATATGTACACACACACCCTCAGCCATATAGATTTCTGTGTGATGACACACACACACACACACACACACACACACACACACACATAGATTTATATTTATACATCAGCAGTACTAATCCTTTGTCTATCAAATCTGTTGCTAGTATTTTCCTCATGGGATATAGTTTGCCTTTTAACTTAGAACAAGTATTTTTCAATACTTAAAAAATAAAGTTGATGACTATAAATTAAATGAGGGGCACCTGGGTGGCTCAGTTGGTTAAATGTCTGCCTTTGGCTCGGGTCATGATCCCGGGGAGCCCCACATCTGGCTCCCTGCTCCACGGGGAGCCTGCTTCTCCCTCTTTGCCTGCTGCTTCCCCTGCTTGTGCGCTCTCTCTCTCTCTGTGTGTCAGATAAATAAATCAATTCTTTAAAAAATTATTAAATGACTAAATATGATTTATTAAAATAAATATAGCATGCATGATTCTCATTAAAAATATTGTGTATTGTTTCCGGGGCACCTGAGTGGCTCAGTGGTTAAACATCCTACTCTTTTTTTTTTTTTAAGATTTTTTTATTTATTCATTCCAGACACAGAGATACAGAGAGAGAGAGCATGAGCAGGGGGAGAAGCAGAGGGAGGGGGAGAAGCAGGCTCCCCGCTGAGCAGGGAGCCCTATGCGGGGCTCGATCCTAGGACCTGGGATCATGACCTGAGCCGAAGGCAGATGCTTAACCATCTGAGCCACCCAGGCGCCCCTAGAAGGCTTCCTACTCTTAATTTCAGCTCAAGTCATGACCTCAGGGTCATGGGATTGAGCCCCACGTAGGGCTCTGGGCTGAGTGTGGAGTCTGCTTGAGATTTTCTTTTTCCCTCTCCCTCTGCCCCTCTACCCGTGCTCTCTCTCTCTCTCTCTCTAAATGAATAAATAAAATCTTTCAAAAAAAAAAAAGAATATTGTATACTGTTTCCATCTAGATAAATTCAAGATATTAGGCCAGAGCACTGTTTGTTGTAGGTTGATCATTAGAAGAGCCTTTGGCAGGCGCCTGGGTGATTCAGATGGTTAAGCATCTGCCTCCAGCTCAGGTCATGATCCCAGGGTCCTGGGATCTAGTGCCGCATCGGGCTTCCTGCTCAGCGGGGAGCCTGCTTCTCCCTCTGCCTCTGCTTCTCTCTCTCTCTCTCTCATGAGTAAATAAATAAAATCTTAAAAAAAAAGAGAGAGAAGAGCATTTGGCTTTTCTTTATTTTTGAAGGCATACTTTATTATTATAAGTCAGGCTAAAATTCAAATTCATCAGAAGAGTATATATTTATTGAAATTGAAGACCTTGTCTCTGTGTGTATGTGTGTGATTAACATCATTTGTTCCTGAATTACTGAGACTTAACTATAGTTCTGGAAAAACATTACTTACTTCCCTAGAAGAGGACTGAGTTCTTTTAAATCTTGCAATGATGGCTTTTGTTCCAGAAGTTTCTTAAACAGAGCCAGTGGAAAAGGAAGGTTGGCGACATTTGAGTTGTTTAGGGAGAGTCCACACAGTATTCCAAAAAGGAAATATCTGTTCTTCTCAAATTTAGGCTGGAAAAGGAGAAGAAAAAAAATCCCTAATGTATTAGAAGTAATCAGTCCAAAGGGATAATGAGATTAGTAAAAATTTGTTTGGTTCCCCTTTCTAAAAGTCACAAATTAGAAACAAAGTGGGCTTCAGGAAAATAAAGTTTGAGCTTCCTATACAGGCTTTAATACAATTTAAATTTCTTCCATAAGTTAAAATATAAACTAATAGTTCAGAATATTAAATAAATGAATTTACTTTTTGTTACTGACAACATATCTGGAATAAAAAAAAATATATGCTCATATAGCCTTATAAGCCAAGGTTGTCATTATTTAATTTTATAGTCTTTGCCTTCAAATTCATGTAGAAAAGACACTGCAGAAGGAAGAGTACGCTTTATCTGCACTTTCATTGTGCATCAGGCATGTCATGTGTGTCCCCTTCGGTGATACTGCCCTCAGCCTAGGTATGCTGACAGGGACAAGCATATGGGTCAGGGAAGGTGATGCTGTTGACCGTGAAGGTGGGTGGAAGGAAGAAGGAAAGATGATGAAGCCTGATAAAACAGGCTTCACTCTTCTCTCTGCACTTTGTAGTCCCAGATGAGGAAAAACATGGCCGCATCTTGCCAGGCCATCGCTACAGAGCAGCCAAGAGACCACTAGCCTGAAAATCCTAAATGCATTTTTTAAAAATATTTATTTATTTGTCAGAGAGAGAGAGAGAAAGAGCGCACAAGCAGGGGGAGCTGCAGGCAGAAGGAGAAGCAGACTCCCCGCTGACAGGGAACCCAGTGAGGGACTCCATCCCAGGACTCTGGGATCATGACCTGAGCCGAAGGTAGACGCTTAACCTACTGTGCCACCCAGGCATCCCTCTAAATGCATTTTTAACATTTATCCTCACAATCGCTGTAAGAAGTAAATAGGGCAAGTAGATTGAGGCTATTATGTAAGTGGCCCAAAGTCATTCACCTGCTAACAGCAAGGCTGGCCCTGGAATAGAAATCTTAGAATTTATATAAAATTTTAGGAAATTCAAACTACTCCATAATGACAAAAATCAGATCAGTGGTTGTGTGGGCATGGGGCAGGAGGTGTGTGGAGGGTGGGATTAGAAAGGGGTGTGAGGAAATTTGGAGGAATGATGAATATGTCATTATTTGGTTGTGGTGATAGTTTCATGGGTATATGTGTAATCAAAACTTAACCTATTGGACATCAACATGGATGGGACTGGAGGAAATTATGCTAAGTGAAATAAGTCAAGCAGAGAAAGTCAGTTATATGGTTTCACTTACTTGTGGAACATAAGGAATAGCATGGAGGACATTAGGAGAAGGAAGGGAAAAATGAAGGGGGGGAAATCGGAGAGGGAGATGAACCATGAGAGACTATGGACTCTGAGAAACAAACTGAGGGTTCTAGAGGGGAGGGGGGTGGGGGGATGGGTTAGCCAGGTGATGGGTATTAAGGAGGGCACGTACCGCACAGAGCATTGGGTGTTATATGCAAACAATGGATCGTGGATCACCACATCAAAAACTAATGATGTATTGTATGGTGACTAACATAACATAATAAAATTAAAAACAAAACAAAACAAACTTAACCAATTGGACACCTGATGTGTAGGTCATTGTATCTCAACTACACTTCATAAAAGCTGTTTAAAAATTTAACATGCATAGAAGCACCTGGGAATCTTATAGAATACATGCTCTGATCTGGGGTGGGACCTGAGATTCTGCTTTTCTAATAGCCCCCAAGTGATGCTCAAGCTGCTGCTCTGTGGACCTTATCTTGAGTAGCAAGGCTCTCTACATGACCTAATTTTACATTATTATCATGGTTTTCATGTTCCAAGTATATGGTATACTTTTTCTGTTCTGAAAAACTGTAAGAAAATAAAAGACTTACACTGACAGGAAACCACATGTAGGAACCATCTTCAGGATACATGAACATTCCATATTCTGTCTTGGTCATCTCTTCAAATATACTGTAGAAGAACTCGGATATTACCCCGTGCCCCTGAGAACGAATTTCTTTAATAAATTCAGTCTGAGGAAAGAGAACACATTCACAGGCTCAGATTTAAAATACAATGCCTTGATCCTTGTGGAAAAGTTTCAAACCTCCTGCAATCATCAGAATTCCTGGAATCCCATACCCCTTCAATCCCACACTTCACTGCAATCTGTTCTCCCTCAATTTCCTGCTGAGCGGCGGACAGTAGTGAACCTATTCACTGTCAGATTAGTGTGTGTGTGAGTCCTTTACACTGCCACATGAACCAAGTAAAGAGGGATTCTAGCAAGACTTAGCACTCACCAATAATGTTGACCAGAGTCTTGAACCACATTTTGATGTGCTTCAGGTCCCTGGTTCTTCTGTCTTACTGTCTATCTTCATCTCATCATTCAGACTTTACAACTTTGGCTCCAGTCAACAGCTATTTGGTTTCTCCTGCCTCTTCCCTCATTTTAACTTCTGATAAATTACCCTCCCAGTCCCCCTGGGTTTAGCACCTCTGAAGGAACCATCAGACCAGACTGCCCATAGCTCTTGTGTGGGAAGTCATTATGAACTGTCTTTTTCTTTTCCTTTCTTCAGTTCTACTATTATTTACCTTCGAATTTTATTTTATTTTTTAAAGATTTCAGTTTTAAGGAATCTGTACACCCAACATGGGGCTCGAACTCACAACACTGAGATCAAGAACTGCACATTCTACCAACTGACTGAGCCAGCCAGGAGTCCCTTATTTATTTTTAAAAATATTTTTGAAAAAATTAATTTTTTTACAATGCTTTCAACTTAAACATTATTCACACTGAACACATATGGCAGCTTAACCTACCCAAGTATGAAGTTTAAGAAGCCAAAACTGTTCTAGCTTTGTTAAAAGTTATGCTGCAGGAACTGTCCTTCTCTAAATCTACCTTGGGTCTTTGTGGCCAATACTATCCCAGTTTTCTTCCTACCTCTCTAACTACTTTTCTGCTTCCTTTCCTGGCCAGTTTCTTTTTATCTTTTTATTTATTTATTTTTAAAGATTTTGTTTTTATTTATTATTTTTGAGAGGGAGAGAGTGCACACAGGGAGGGAGGGGCAGGGGGAGAGGGAGAAAGAGTCCTAAGCAGACTCCCCACTGAATGTGAAGCCTGATGCAGAGCTTGTTCCCATGACCCTGAGATCACAACCTGAGCCAAAATGAAGAGTTGGATGATTAGCCAGCTTTTTATTTTTTTAATATAAGCATCACTAAGCCCCACTAAGCATTCTCTTTCTCCTTTCTTTGCCTGGAAGATCTTAACTCTGCCACAGATCACCCAATTCCTTGGCCACAGACCATCATCTCATCTCCAGGGGCCCACCTTAACGTTCCATCTGGATATCCCAATAACAAATTAAGCTTACTTCCACTTTTCCAATTTCTGCTCACTTAAACCAGCAAGTCTGCCTTCAGTGTGGTCAGGACCCACACATAATTGGCTTTGACAACCTTGCCTTGTTCCGAGTCTATATTTGGATTGGATCTACCTTGAAGTTCACCTTTCTACCTCTTTGTTATCTCCTGTGGGCAGAATAATTTTCTATTGATTTCCTCATAATCAAAATTTAAAAGAAAGTAGATACAGAAGGAAATATACAACTACAAAGTCTGGCTTATAAAATAGGTTGTTTTCCATTTAGTCCCAGGGTGGGAAATACCCCCTCTCTTGTCTGAGTCCTACCCTCTAGGTTCTGGTTTCTTCTCTGAGAACCTAAGTCTCCCTCTCATGGCTGATACCAGGAAAATCCACTCCCTTCTGGACAAAGTCCAGCTTTTACCTAAAGAGTTACTCATTATTCTATGGCATCAACAGGGCTAATGATCTGCAATAAACACAATAAACACCCTACAGGCACCCACAAAGGATAAAGTGAAAGATGACTAGAATTAGAACCAATATAGTAGATACTCTATAACTAAAACTAGAGCCAAAATGTAGGAAAAGTATCTGTTCTACCTGCTGCTTGTTGATTGCGTTAATAGCTCAAATGCTTTACCCTCCTTGATCCATGTCTGTTACATGTGACTTTGCAGTTCCTCCCATTAAAGAGGCTGAGTATATTTCATCAGCCCTTAACTTGGGTTCAGCCAGGTAACTCTGCTTTGACTAAAGCAATGTTAGTTGTGTGATTGGACTTGCTCTCTTTCTTATACCTCTGGCACTGCAGTGAGAAGAACATGCTTGGTGGTCCCAGGAAGATGAAAAGCACAGAAAACAGAGCCAAACTGCCCCAGCCAAGCTTAATCTAGCCCAGATCAGCCAGTTCCTAGCCAACTCCCAAACATGTAAACAAGTGCAGATAAAAATCTACAAATCCACCCAAGTGAATTCAATCTAAATTAACAGATTTTTAGCTGAGTTTCAAATCGCTGTAATAAATTATTGTCATTTTAAGTCATTAAGCTTTGGGATGGTTCATTATGCAACAGTTTTGTAGCCATAGGTAACGAATAGTTTACACATAATCTCAGCAATTAAACATCCCATAGCTTTTCTCTAAAGGGTAAGCAAGGAATTACTATTTTTTATTTATTAAGTAATCTCTTTGCCCAGTGTGGGGCTCGATCTCACAACCTTGAGATCAAGAGTCACACGCTATACCAACTGAGCCAGCCAGACACCCTAGAATTCTGGAAACCATACAGCTGATAACTATAGTTGCAAAATCAGGCTCTTCTTTGCTATATTATATAAATGTTTCCCTCTCACATTAGTAAAAATGTCTGAAGAGACTTTTTACTGTACCACTAATACTTTACAGAGGTCAGTGTCTTCAGTTTGGCTTAACTGACGCAGAGCATCTTCAACTAGGTGACTTCGTCTGACTCTAAGTGTAAGTGTAGGGGATATATTGTATTGCAGAATCACTTGCTCCCAATCCAGGTATTCTTTCTGTTTTAAGTCCTAAAAAAAGAGAAATATTTTAGGAATCTCATAGGAACACTAGGAAGTGTTTACTATTTCAAATAAATGTAGTCTGCATAGCATACACTTATGCTACTATTGCTATATATACTCAGATTGTAATTATTTAAGAAAAAAAGGCATCATATCTACACTATACTATGGAAGATAAGGAGATCACAGGATCTGTGAAACCATGGCATCTAGGAATTATATACAGGGGATTAGTCACCATGGAGGTACAGCTAAGTAATTACAAGCTATCTCACTTGTAGTAAACATGATCCTTAAAGGCAATAGTGGTATTCAGTACGCTGAGACATTCATCCACCATCAGTCTTTTTTTTTTTTTTTTTTAAGATTTTATCTATTTATTTAACAGAGAGAGAGACAGCGAGAGCAGGAACACAAGCAGGGGGAGTGGGAGAGGGAGAAGCAGGCTTCCCACGGAGCAGGGAGTCTGATGTGGGGCTCGATCCCAGGACCCGGGATCATGACCTGAGCCGAAGGCAGACACATAACAACTGAGCCACCCAGGCGCCCCACCATCAGTCTTAAAAAGCAGAGTTTTAGCACCATAATCCTCAAGAATATAAGGGTAGTTTAGGAGCTCAAGGATGATGTTAAACGTTGGAAAAAGATCAGAGGAAAGACTTGCTCAGAGGAGATCCAACTCTTGTTCAAATAACTGTGGTCCATCCACCTGATTTGTAGGGGAGCTCCCTAAAAATACGCCACCGGCGGCCTCACTTTTTACCTGCTCTCAGTCACTCTACACAGTACTTCCATTTAGCTTTTCTGAATTTTCAACATTTCCTTACACTCTAGTCCGGATCTTATTTCTGCTGAACCCCCTCGGATTAGAAATCTAGCGTTGGACTTGCTAGCCTTGCTTTGAGCTTTAACACTTCTCTAGGGCTTCTGCTATATCCCAAGGACAAAAAGGAATATTAGGATTCATAAACCGATGTAGCTTTCGCTCTCTCTTTTTTTTTTTTCTTTTTTAACCCATGTAGCTAGCTCTCTTTGGGACCTCTCCCACAAATATTGGCAACAGACAGGTGGATAATAGAATAGCTATCCTGCCCCAGGTTTCCAGGCTGGGTGTGGTTGCCCAGAGCAGCACTCTGTGAGCCTCTCAGAGAAGTGTGCATGGGACTCTGGGCTTGGGAAAGCCTGTCCCAGATCTCCGCTGCTACTATATCCTGAGAAATCATACGTGATTCCACTAGACTCTTCCGGTTTTTCCCGAAGAAGTTGATTGTTAAGTTCCAGGTTGGTAGGGAGGTGGAGCTGGTGCCATTTCTGGTCCTTCCTGATTATAGGTCATCTCCTCTGGTGGCCCAGGAGCCTGCAGCTCTGGGACACTTCAGCGATACTGACTGCTGAGCAGCACGACCTGTGGCTCAGAGTGACAGGGAGTGGCCAGCAATATCCTCCACTGACTATAGCAGGGAGAGGTATATGTGGCCTGCTGTAGCCCCAGCCTTCTTTCACCTAACCAAGAATTAGGCAGGAAACCTGCATTTTATCTTATTTTCCAGTTCCTCTACTCCGGTTCTCCATGTATTGGTTTCCCCTTCCTACATTTATGCGTGTGAATTGATAATATAGTTTGGAGTTCACGGTTTTGACTATGGCCATCCTCTCTCCTTTGGCGGTCAGGATTGTGGAGTCTCCTTTCTAGTTTCACCCATGACGACTACAACTGAGTTTTCTTGTACTCAATCAAACCTTTCTAGATCCTTCATGATACGCAGTCTTCCTGGTTCCACCATGCACATAGCCCTCACTAACCCCTCACTAAGAGTAGATCTGCTACACAGAACATTGCTGTAGAAGAAAATACCACAGAGGGAAGGACTTGTCTAAAGGAAACATAATTTCTCCTGTTACCCGGGATGTTAGGAAAATTTAAAAAGAGGTGGTTGGGAAACGAAGAGATGACCAATTCAAATCTTGTAAACATGCCAATGACAGACACTAATAATAGGAACAAGAGGGAAAGTCTTTATCTATGGAATGCTTTTAGCAGGATGTACCTTGTCCATCCAGGTTGCTTATGTAAACAAAGCTGGAATTTATGGATTTATGGGGCATGGATCATTGGAAAATGTCACATTAGCTGTATAATAGAGTATCAAGGAAATGTTTTATAACTGAGGTGGCTCCTTTTCTGCATGTGATGTCCCAGACTTCTCCATGTTTCACCTAGATGGCCTGCATCCTTTAAATTATTAATAAAAGTAATGGGTATGACTTCTGAGTCCTGTGAGTTTTTAAAGAATAAATAGATAGGAACCTTTTCTGAGGAATAACCTAGACAGGCCTCAGCAATCAAAACATGTTTGGAAAATCTTTAGCACAACGTCTGGGAGTGGGGTGACCACTCAAATACTTGAGAACTAACGATGCTGGTGGTAAGACAGACGAAATAGCATGTAACTGTTATGTGGGAATAATACGAACTACCCGAAAAGAAGCAAAAGGAAGGGAGTAAAGGGAAAACAGAATAAACTCACTGATTGACTCCTAGGCGTTATTTCAGAATAAAAAAATATCAGATGGAGCTTACATATCAAGCTCCAAGCTCTTAAGCAGATATGAAATCCAAACACTAAGATCACGGCAGTAACTAAAATTGGATAGAGAAGGAGAGGGAAGGGAGAGAGAAAGAGCAGTTACTGGATCATTTCAGTATTTGCTCATAGAAGGAAAACAATGGATATTATCTAAAGAAAGTGAGGACTTAGACATTATATAATAACGAGAAAAGCAAATTAAAATTAGCCAAAATATCATGATTAACCTGTTGAATTGGAAAAGAGCACAAAGCTTGACAACACTCTGCATTGATTATAGTGTGCATATTGCTGGTAGTAACATAAATTGGTACAACCTCTATGTATAGTGATTTGGCAACATTTAATAATTAAAGAAAAAGGATTAAGCATCATTCTACTTTCCTATATGAATGTAGCCAAATGGCCCGTGTTGATGAGGAAAAGTTCTTTACAGAATTCAGTTAATAACTTTGGAAGGAACGATAAGATTAGAAATAACGCCATTTTGCAAACCTCAACTAAAACAATGAATAGAATTATTAAATAAAATGTTGATGGGAAGCATTACAATAGAAGAATCATGTGGTCACCACCTGAACCCACTGATGAATCTCAGCATGAATAAGAGTGAAACAACCAGAAACAATGCACTGAAGTATAGAGAGGTGAAAGGAAATTGGGCCGGGGATTTGCTTTAAAATACTTCAGCTAAAATAGTAACAACCACAAAACCAACAAAAGTGATCAATGGGGAAATTGTGGCAATATGTTGATGATGACTGGAACTTTGTGATGGGGCTCATTACACCATTATCTCTATTTTGTGTATGTTTGTAACTTTGCATAATAAAAAAAAGAAGTAGAGCATACATACCAGCATTTTCAAACGGGACTCAACTTGTAATAATAGAATTTTGGATAGCAAAGTAAAAATAAATGGAAAATCACTTAAAACAATGGGACTGGGGTTTTCTGCACGTATCTAAAAAATAAGAGATAATAGCTTTAATAATTCAAAGGAAAAAAAACTTCATTGCTTTACCTCATCACTTTAAATTGTTTCCCTGTATGCTTTTTGCAATCTGTTTTTAAGAATTCAAATTACCTAGAAAAACTTTCTAAGGAAATGCATTTGTTTTGTGAGTGAAAGATGTTTAAGTTTTCAGTGATCATCTAATTTAGCAATTCAGCATTGCAATGAAGCAATGTTCAAATCTTGATTTATCAATGACTTACCTAGCTACTAATGTGTCCTCCTATAAAGTATGAAAATTTTCAGAAATAAAAATGTTATTCTTACCAGGTTGTTAGCCCTAAAGAACAATCTTGTATGAGTATACGTGTTCACGAAATTGGAGGCTTCATTTATGTTGAAAGTATTTTCTGGTAGTTGGCAGTTAGCTGTGTTTACCTGAAAGAAAACAAGACTTGTGAATTTTATTTTCTATTAATAAATGATTTAATCTATTATACATATGGCTTAATATATAGATAATTAGAATAGAGCTCTATAAACCCAATGCATTTGTCATTGATAACATAGAGTTCTTTATATAAAACTTCCATTTTTTGATCTGTAATTTATCCAATTTTCATAAATACTGTAAAAGACAACAGATGTTGGCAGTGGAGATTAGTAAACCAATTCTAAGGGCACAGATTTACTGGAAACAATTTCTAGATCTTGGGAATAAAAGCACCATAAAAATCCAAGGTACTTTTGACAAATTTAGCCCTTTCTCCATTAATCAATGAATATTATTTTAGCACATACTATTTGTCAGGTGTGGAACAAAACACAAATTCTCCTTGCTGACACACAGGTTACTGTCTAATATAGTAGTTGACAAACTCTTTCTTAAATCCAAACAGTAAATATTTGTGCTTGGGATCAGACAGTCTCTGGTGCAACTATTCAACCCTGCCATTCTGAAGCGGAAAACAGCCTTAGACAATATGTAAACAAGTGAGTGTGGATGTGTTCCAATAAAACTTTAATAACAAAAACATGAGGCTGCCCATGGGCATAGATTACCAACTCATGACCCAGGGCCTAATAGGTAAAAACAAGTAATCAGGCATCAAGGATACAGTTTCTGATTGGAGAAGGACTTGAGGGGTTCAAGAAGGTTTCCCAGAGGAAGCAATTGTGGAAAATCAATGATCTAAAAAATAAGCCTCTATCAAATCAAATTAATCCAAAAGATACAAGGCAGGAAATAAAGAATCTAAGAATATAAATTAAGAAAGTAAAATGAAAACACAGCCTATGAAATGGGGAAAAATAGTTGCAAATTATATACTTGATAAGGAATTAATATCGGGGCGCCTGGGTGGCTCAGTCGTTAAGCGTCTGCCTTCGGCTCAGTTCACGGTCCCGAGGTCCTGGGATCGAGTCCCACATCGGGCTCCCTGCTCCACGGGAAGCCTGTTCTCCCTCTCCCACTCCCCCTGCTTGGGTTCCTGCTCTCACTGTCTCTGTCTCTCTGTCAAATAAATTTTAAAAAATTATTTTAAAAAAAGGAATCAATATCTAAAATATATACAGAACACATGCCACTGAGCAAACAAAACAAAAACATCTGATTTAAAAATGTGCTGAGAAACTGAATAGGTGTTTTTCCAAAGAAGACCTACAGAGAGCCAACAGGTACATGAAAAGATGCTCAACATCCCTAATCATCAGGGAAATGCAACCCAAAGCTACACAATGAGATATCACCTCATACTTGTTAGAATGGCTGTCATCAGAAAGACAAGAGATAAGTGTTGGCAAGGATATAGAGAAAAGGGAACCCTTGTCCACTGCAGGTGGGGGTGTTAATTGGTGCAGCCACTATGGAAAACAGTATGAAGGTTCCTCAGGAAATTAAAAACAGAACCACCATATGATCCAGCAATCCCACTTCTGGGTATATTAAAAAATATATTCATCTGAATACATATATTCATTTCAAAGGAGGTGAAATCACTGTCTCAAAGAGATATCTGCACCCCCATGTTCAATGCATCATTTTTTACAAAAGCCAAGACAGGGAAACAAGCATCCTGAATGGATGAATGGATAAAGAATATGTATATATACCCTAAATATTATTTGGCCATGAGACAGAAGGAAATCCTGCCACTTACAGGACATTATCCTAAGTGAAATGAGTCAGACAGAGAAAGAAAATTATGTATGTATGAGCTGAACTCAGAAACAGAAAGTAGAACGGTGGTTGTCAGGGGCTGGGGGATGGGGGAAATCTGGAGATATTGGTCAAAGCGTATAAACTTCCGGTTATAAATGAGTCAGCGTACCAAATAAGTGTAAGTGTATCAAAGCAATATGTTGCACACCTTACACAATGTTGTATGTCAATTATATCTCAATAAAGTTAGGTAAAAAGAAATATACTACTTTAGCTAGACCCTGAGCTGCTCTGCAAGTCACCATGCCGCGTGGAAGTCGGAGCCGCACCTCCCGCATGGCCCCTCCGGCCAGCCAGGCACCTCAGACGAGAGCAGCACCTAGACCAGCGCCAGCAGCTCAGCCTCCGGCAGCGGCTCCACCAGCTGCTGTCGGCTCACCTGCTGCTGCGCCCCGGCAGCCAGGGCTCATGGCCCAGATGGCAACCACTGCAGCTGGCGTGGCTGTGGGCTCTGCTGTCGGACACACGATAGGTCATGCCATCACTGGGAGCTTCAGTGGAGGAGGCAATGCTGAGCCTTCAAGGCCTGACATCACTTACCAGGAGCCTCAGGGAACCCAGCCAGCGTACCAGGAGCAGCAGCAGTTTGGCCCATGCCACTCTGAGATGAAACAGTTTCTGGAGTGTGCCCAGAACCAGGGTGACCTGAAGCTTTGTGAAGGTTTCAGCGAGGTGCTGAAACAGTGCAGATTTGCAAATGGATTAGCCTAATCAAGAAGTTCAAATTGAAGATAAGGAAAATCATCTCTCATAACCAAGTTAATTTAGCATAAAAATATAATTGATGGTGAATGGTGAATATATAAAGTGTAAAACCACCAGTGAAGCTTCTCCTTCATCATTAAATACAGCTTTCTTCAGAATTGGAATAAAAAAGGTTGTTCTTACTGTATAGAAGTTCATTGAGATGGTTTGAATTTGGGGTTGGGCAGATATTTGTGTGCCTCCTTAAATCACCTTTTGTGATGTTCTCATTTGTGAATTAGAATAAAGTGATTTTCTCCCCCCCCGCAAAAAAAGAAATATACTACTTTAGAAATATCAGTGCATTAACACTTCTGAAAAGCACTAACTTTTTTGTACATAATATTTTCTCCTATTGGGATTGATATTTTGTGGTGAAATTGCTTTTGATTGCATTTAGCAACTTATATTTATAAAATCATCTTAGCTAATTATTTTTAATTGAACAATACTAATTTAATTCTGCTCTTTTATTTAAAATGCTCTGGCTCCTCCCTACCCCCCAACAATCATTAAGTTTATTAGTACCCTAACTTTAAATTACTTCTAGATTATGTTGTGTACTCTACTGAAAATGCTAAATCATTCTCATTTTTGAGTATTTGTTCATCTAATATATACTATAAAAAATATGTAATATACATAAAACATGTAAGTCTATGCCTAGAGTCTAGCCAGTCAGCAAAACAAGCAAAATTTTGAATTCCTAAGGACTGAATAAAACATTTTCTGTTTTATTTTTTTTTTAAGATTTTATTTATTTATTAGAGAGCGAGCGAGAGAGAAACAGCATGAGAGGGGAGAGAGTCAGAGGGAGAAGCAGGCTCCCCACTGAGCTGGGAGCCTGATGTGGGACTCGATCCCAGGACTCCGGGATCATGACCTGAGCCGAAGGCAGTCGCTTAACCAACTGAGCCACCCAGGCGCCCAAACATTTTCTGTTTTAGGAACAAAACAAAAGAAGACTCCAATTGGCAAAGACCAAAGGGATTTTGAGTAAAATGATATATATATTCCCCTCAGAGGAACCCTTACCTTATGTATTTCTTTCATCACTTCTAGAAGAGCTTTAAGATTGCAGTAACTCTGACTGTGTTCAGTCCACCGGGAGAACTGAGAAATAATGGCAGTTTTAAGCATCTGGACCAGTTTGTTGAGAGAAGATTCTTGCAAAGATGCCCAACACTGCTCTGAAGGGTATAAAATCAGCCATGATAAATACGCACCCTCCAAAAAAAAATCCCCGTTTCTACTGGGCTCTTTAATACATGAAAGAGATATGAGTTTCCATTTCTGATGACAAAACCTATAAAATATCTAGTCTCAGGATATCAGCCTGGACATTTATTACTCACAAATGTGAAAAAAAATGTTTTTCCCTGATTAAGCATCATTGAAATTAAAAGCTCAAATTTAGGATTCTGAAGAAATTTGCTGATTGCTCATATGAATACCTGACTACTTGACTGATTTCATGATTTTCAAACTGAAAATTCCATAGAATATCTAAAAGTCTGAAAACATACATAAGAACACACACATACACACATATAATGTCATCAAGGACATTTTCTTTCTTTTCTTTTCTTTCTTTCTTTCTTTCTTCTTTCTCTTTCTTCCTTCCTTCCTTCCTTCTTTCTCTTTCTTTCTTCCTTCCTTCCTTCCTTTCTTTTTTTAAAGATTTTATTTATTTATTTGACAGAGTGAGAGAGAGCCAGAGAGCCAAGTGGGGGAAACAGCAGAGGGAGAGGGAGAAGCAGGCTCCCCGCTGAGCAGGGAGCCTGATGCGGGGCTCTATCCCAAGACCCTGAAATCATGCCCTGAGCTGAAGACAGATGCTGAACCGACTGAGCCACACAGCCGCCCCCCCTTTTTTTTTTAAGGATTTTTATTTATTCATTTGAGAGAGAGAGCGAGAGCATGAGCGGAGGGGAGGGTTAGAGGAAGAGGGAGAAGCAGACTCCCCGCTGAGCAGGGAGCCCAACTCAGGGTTCTATCCCAGGATCATGACTGAGCCACCCAGGCGCCCCTCATCAAGGACATTTTCAATCTGAAAAAAATATCTATGTTTTCAGATTTTATGAACACCTGGTATATACAGATACATTTTTTCAATGAACTCAGTAACAATATTTTAATATTACTTCGTTCCAACTTGGATTTTTGTATCTTTAAAGGATAATTCTCAGAAGACAAACCTATCAAATGTTAAAATAGCTAATATAATTGAAATAATATGATGCAGATGCATGAAAGGCAGATTTACATAGCAGAGATTCCATAAATGGACTCAAATATGCATGACACTTTAGCATATGATAAAGGTGGCATTGCATATTAGTAGGAATGAAACACATCATTCAATAAATGTGTGGGGACAATTGAAAACTGACTTAGAAAAAAATAAAGTTTAATCAAGATAAACTCCATATGGATCAAAGATTTAAACATAAAAATGAAACAACAGAAGTTCTAGGAGGAAAGGGCCACCTGCCTGGCTGGCTCAGTCAGTAGAGCATGTTACTCTTGATCTCAGGGTCATGAGTTCAAGCCCCATGTTGGGCACGGAGCCTACTTTAAAAAGAAAAGGGGGACACCTGGCTGGCTCAGTTGGAGGCGTATGTGACCCTTGATTTCAGGGTCATGAGTTCAAACCCCATATCAAGTGTAGAGATTACTTAAATAAACAAAACTTAAAAAAAAATTCTAATAGGAGCATGGGAATCTTTTTTTTAAAGATTTTGAGAGAGAGAGAGAGAGATTGAGAGAATGAGTGGGAAGAGGGGCAGGGGGGAGAAGCAGGCTCCCCACAGAGCAGGGAGCTCCATTCAGGACTCAATCCCAGGACGCTGGGATCATGACCTGAGCCAAAGGCAGATGTTCAACTGATTGAGCCACCCAGGCGCCTGGGAAATTTTTTTTTTTAAATTTCAGAGTGAGGTAGGCTTTTTGACGTATGATCTAAACTCAGAAACCGTAAAAGAAAATGTTCATATAGTAGGCTTCATAAAAATGTTTTAAAGAAACAAACATTTTTGTTGTTGTTTTTCGTTTTTTGGTTTTTTTAAGATTTATTTATTTGAGAGAGAGAGAGAGAGAGCGAGCACGTGTGAGTGGGGGGATGGGCAGAGGAAGAGGGCAAGAATCCTAAGCAGACTCCCGTGCTGAGCACGGAGCCCCGAATCGGGGCTTGATCTTACCACCCTGAGACCAACCAGCTGAAACCAAGAGTTGGATCCTCAACTAACTGAGCCACCCAGGCACCCTTTCATAAAAATGTTTTAAAATAATTACGCATTCGGGGCACCTGGGTGGCTCGGTTGTTAAGCGTCTGCCTTCGGCTCAGGTCATGATCCCAGGGTCCTGGGATCGAGCCCCGCATCGGGCTTCCTGCTCTGCGGGGAGTCTGCTTCTCCCTCTTCCACTCCCCCTGCTTGTGTTCCCTCTCTCACTATGTCTCTATCTGTCAAATAAATAAATAAAATCTTAAAAATAAAATAAAACAATAAAACAAATTATGCATTCAAAAATACCACAAAGTAAAAATAATAATAATAATAATAACCCAGAGAAAAAAGATTTGTAACTCATATTATTGATAAAGTATTAATTGCCTTAATCATTTAAAAGCTCCTAAATAAAAAAGAAAAACACTAACAACACATGGGAAAATGGGTTAAGAGGGAAGAACTGATAGTTCCCAGAATACACTATAAAAATGGAATTGAGATATAGGAAAACCAGCACTATCTCATTCATAATGAGAAAATTAAAATTTAAAATAAGAGATTCTTCAGAATGGCAAATACCAAAGTTTCATAATACTGTAGGAAAATGCGTGGGGTGATGCTGTCATATTTTTTGAAGTATAAACTGATACATCCTCTATCAGGGCCATCATGTTGCACTGCATGTGATTTATTTAGACTACAATGTGAATGGTGACCACTTAAAGTTCTGTGGAGGGTCATTTGGCAAAATCTCTCAAAATTTTAAATGCACATACAATTTGATCCAGTAATTTTGCTTTCTGGAATTTTCCCTGTCTGTGTAAATTTATATACATACAAAGAAATGCATGTTAGCACTATTATAATAGCAGAAACTTAGAAACAGCTATTTATAGTATATCCTCCCAATAGAATAAAATAAGCCATTAAATAGAACCAGGCAGTTCCTGTAACAGAACAAACATATCTTTACAATATACTGTTGAGTGGGAAAAAGCAAATTGCCAAAAAATGTGAATGGTGTGCTACCATTAAAAAAAGAAAAAAAGAAAGAATATATGTCTCTACTTTTTTAAAATACATATCTTTCAAAGTTTACACAAAAAACTATATTCTGTAACTGCTTTCTGGGAGAGGAAATGAGTGGCTTATATTTCATTATATATATATCTTTTGTACCTTTAAAGCTTTGGTCCTTGAACATTCGGAAACAATGGAATACAGAGAGGAATTTTAACAGACTTTGCTGAGCTCCTCCCTGTCTACCATACCTAATTCGTATTATACTGTAGTTACCTATGGGGATAGCTCCCTTCCTGGAGCAGGTCTTATATCTTACTTCCTTTAGGCAGTTAGGGGGAGGGATAAAGGTTCTTCCTGAGCCTTCTGTTTCTTAAAACTTGTCTAGAATAATCCACATGCTAAAGAGACACATTTTGGGATGGCAGACTTTTCTCCCCTGCAGGTCAAATGTCTCAAGTTTTAGGGGCACCTGGGTGGCTCAGTTGGTTAAGCAGCTGCCTTCAGCTCAGGTCATGGTCCCAGGGTCCTGGGGATCGAGCCCCGCATTGGGCTCCTTGTTCAGCAGGGAGCCTGCTACTCCCCTGCCTGCCACTCCCCCTGCTTGTGCTTGCTCTCACCCTCCCTCCCTCCCTCCCTCTCTCTCTCTCTGTGTCAAATAAATAAATAAAATCTTTCAAAAAATGTCTCAAGTTTTAAAACATGAACAAAAAATTTTAAAGTATGGATTTATCTTGACTGGATCCTCTGTGGTTATTAAACTCTGATATCAAAGCCATGTCCAAGTCTAAGAGTTACACATGCTTTGTATAATGATTGTTAATGATTGTTAATAATATAAGGTTAATCCTTTCAAACATGCACATACCACATACCCAAACATATGTGTATTTTTAAATCCTCTATCCAAAATTTGCTACAACTTTTACTTTAGTGATTCTTTACTGAGAGTACAGATAAAGTGACAAAAGGAATCAAACTTACTCAGGACTCGTGAAGATCGGTCACTCATCTTGCAAACAGCTTCTGCAAATGGAACCACCAGACTCTTCCAGTTGCTAGAATCATGCATCACAGGACATTCTGGGAGCAGAAGGAAAACTGATAATGCTTCTCGGTGTGAAGAACGACACGGAAGAGCTCTGAGAAGACTATCCCTGAGACATGTAGTTATCTGTGGTTGAAAGGATCAGGGAGGGCCCAGCATCCATTAGATACAGATTATAGTGAAAAACAAGCTATGGAACTAGGGGTTTTGTTTCACCATCTTCCACTGGAAAAATCATTTAGTTTTCCTCAAACCTACTGTTCAAACTCCATCATTCCTTGCATCCCAAATGCCCCTAAAGTGTTATGTGAGAGTCATCCTCCCTGTTTTATATTGGGTTGCATGAAGGAAATAAAGTGAAATCACATGTACATGTACATACTGTGTGAATCATGGAGTTCACTCAATTAGAGATTGACAGGTCGCAGATCCATACCCAGATCTATCTGACTTAAAATCTAACATTGGCAGAGATGATGCCGTATTGTTCACCTCACCAATCCTGTTTCATTTTCCTCCTGGGCTCACAGGAAGATGGCATTTCCAGCCTCCCTGCAGTTATGTGGGGCCATATGATTGAGTTCCAGCTAACAGATTATGAGTGAAGGTGATGTATATCACTTCCAGGCATGACCCCTAAAACCTCTCATGGAACCTTCCATACTCTCTTTCCTTATCCGCCAACAAAATACAAAAGCTCTGGAGGATTTCATGGCCCCAGGGCCTAGGTTTCCAGAAAGAAGGAGCCCAAATCACTCCTCAATGAACCTGTGCAGAGGTGGGAAGGGTAGCAGAATATGCCACTCAAAAATATGCCACTCTGGCAGGAGGATTATTTTGAGCTGAAGGCAAGTGAGAAAAAGCGGTACAAAACAAGCTCTCTGGCTTCCCTCTATCTACTTGAAAACAGAATATCAATGCCCCTTGTGAAGGTGTCCTCTTGCCTCTAAATTCCTGTACCAGGAGAAGGGTAACAACCTTAATTAGCGGAGATGAGGAGGCACTGAGAAAGAGTCTACACAAACCTTACAAGCTAGACCTTATCTACTATCCATATGCCCAGCTATTTGCCTTCCCGCAATTTGGCGCCCTTAGAATCTCAGTCCTTTTCCTTTGTGTTGTCTCTTCTCCACAAAATTATTGTTCTTTGTTAAGATGCTATATAAGCAAGTGCTAACACCCCTGTACTTACTCATCACTGAGTGTATATGCAGCATGCACACGTTAATCAACTTCTGTTCATTTTTCTCCTATTAATCTGTCTTTTCTCAGTCTAATCAGCCAATGAAACTAAGATGGGTGGAGGGAAAATATTTCTTTTTCTTCCCCTGCACATGCTTCCCTTCTTCAGCCCTCATTGATGTGGAAAGAAGTCTTCATTGTGTCAAGCCACTGAGATTTGTTTTGTTTTTGTTTTTTAAGATTTATTTATTTATTTGACAGAGAGAGAGAGACACAGCGAGAGAGGGAACACAAGCAGGGGGAGTGGGAGAGGGAGAAGCAGGCTTCCCACTGAGCAGAGAGCCCGATGCAGGGCTCGATCCCAGGACCTGGGGATCATGACCTGAGCCGAAGGCAGATGCCCAACGACTGAGGCACCCAGGCGTCCCAAGCCACTGAGATTTGAAAGTTATTTGTTATAACAGCTAGCATCACTTACTCTATTTAATAGGTCTTAGGTATTCTTAAGGACAGTGTCTACCTCTACATGTCATAAGGATTAAGTAAGATTATATATGCAATAATAAAGTACCATATATTATTATTACATTAATGTTCTTACAAGTTGTTTTCTCAGATGTCCAGAAGAACATGATTTCTATGGCGCGCTGGTAGGCATAGATGGGAAAATAATGTCACAGAGTCAGATAACTTTGAGAAAAATGGCTAAAACAGCTAGATTTCTTTTGGTTTGTGACATCATAGAATTTTTAATTTGCTGATGTACATCATAACTCCATAATAGTATGCAGCATTTCCAAAGTTGTTTCACTTAGAAGCTGTTTTCAGGGAGCATTCTGTGAAACTAGTGTTCCTTGGAACTCACAATGGGAACAGCACCCCAAGTTATCTCCCATATAACCTAAATAAATTTATTTTTAAAATATATTCAATAACATCTACTATTTTTCTTCATCTTGAAAATAAAACTACTGTATCTACTACATATTAAAGAACACTCTCCCCCTTTCCCTTCCAAATGTAGGGAACCGGGACGCCTGGGTGGCTCAGTCGGTTAAGCGTCTGCCTTCGGCTCAGGTCATGATCCCAGTGCCCTGGGATCGAGTCCTGCATCAGGCTCCTTGCTCAGCGGGGAGCCTGCTTCTCCCTCTGCCTGTAGCTCCCCCTGCTTGTACCCTTACTCACTCTCTCTCTCGCCCAAGCTCTCTCTAACAAATAAATAAAATCTTTAAAAACAAAAAACAAAAAACAAATGTAGGGACCCAAAATGGTATAAAGATGACTTTAGGGGCACCTGGGTGGCTCAGTCGTTAAACGTCTGCCTTCGGCTCAGGTCATGGGATCGAGCCCCGCATCGGGCTCCCTGCTCCGTAGGGAGCCTGCTTCTCCCTCTCCCTCTCCCCCCTGCTTGTGTTCCCTCTCTCACTCTGTCTCTCTCTGTCAAATAAATAAATAAAATCTTAAAAAAAAAAAAAGATGACTTTAACCCGAAAGCATGTGTGATACAGCTGATGCAGAAAGAAGCCTTCAGATCTTCCCTTATCTGACTAAAGTCAGGGCCTTCCCAGAGTGAGGCAGCCATAGATGCCCTTGGAGGGCAAGCTTCACTGCCAGGGAAAGACCAGCCACCTGCCCTTGGATAAGAAATTACGTAAACAAACATTATCACAAGCTGTCATATCTTCCATTTGGCCCCCTTAAAGTCCATTTGTCTCCCTGAAAAGTCCATTTGTTTTCTCATAGAAGCCTCTTCTCCCCCACTCCCTTTTCCCTTTTAATTGGCATATAAACCCTCATCCCTAGCTCTTTGGGGAGTCTCTTCAGCTGAATGCTCCCCGAAAGAACGGGAATAAAACTTGTTTTCTTCTGTTAATCAGTCTATTGTCAGTTCACAGGCCCCCAAACACATGAACCTGAGTTGGTGGAGGGAAAGTTTTCCAACACAGCCCAGAATCACAAAATACTAAACTAGAATAGACCTTAAAAAGGAACTCCATAAATAAGGAGCCCAATAAAAAAGGTAAAGAAAATGTGACCCAAATAGCATAAGGGCTGAATCAGTAGCAGATTCATCTCAACAGATTTGACATTGATCGCAAAAGAGAGAACCAGCTTTCCATTCCCCCAGTCCAGGTGAAGCTTCTCTTGCTTCCCAAATTAGTGCTATATCTGCTAATGGTTATTTACCTCTCAAAATTGTTTTTTCATATTGAAAATAAAAACACTGTATTTACTGTACATTTAAACATGTGCTTAAAAAAGTGCCAGCATCTAAAAGAGGGAGCAGAAATCAGAGAAGGGGTTGTGACCACAGAAGCAGAAGTCAGTGATACAGGACCAGGAGCCAAAGAATGCAGGCAGCCTCTAGAATCAAGAAAAGTCAAAGAAACAGATTTCCCCTAGAGTCTCCAGCCCTATTTTCTATTATTACTATAACAATTACTATACTATATATTATTACTATACTAACTAACCATACTAACAATTATTATAACCACAAATTTAGTGGTTTAAAGAAACATGAATTTGTTATCTTATAGTTCTAGAGGTCAGAAGTCCAAAATGAGGGGCACCTGGGTGGCTCAGTCAGTTAAGCGTCTGCCTTCAGCTCAGGTCATGATCCCAGGGTACTGGGATTGAGCCCCATGTTGGGCTCCCTGCTCAGTGGGGAGTCTGTTTCTCCCTCTCCCTCTGCCCTTCTGCCAGCTTGTGCTCTCTCTCTCTCTCTCAAATAAATAAATAAAAATCTAAAAAAAAAAAAGTCCAAAATGGGTCTTGCAGGACTAAAATCAATATATTGACAAGTTGCATCCCTTCTGGAAGCTCAAAGGGAGAATCTGTTCCCTGTCTAGTGGTTTCTTACAGGGATAATCTCTTTTGTTTCTCTAGTTTCTAGAGACTGTCAGCATTTCCTTTCTATTGGCCTTTCTCCATTTTCAAATCCAGAAACACATCTCAAATCTAACTCTGACATTCCTGCTTCCTCTTACAGATACTCTTGTGATTACACTGGGCCCATCCAGATAATCCAGAATAATCTCCCCATCTCAAGATTGTTAACTTAATGACCTATGCAAAATTCCTTTTGCCATGTAAGGTAACACATTCACAGACTTTGAGTATTGAAACATGGACATCTTGGGAGGCCATTATTCCACTACCACAGTTCCCATTATACACCCCATGCAACCATTAATCTATTTTCTATTTGTATGGATTTGCCTTCTCTGAACATTTCATGTAAGTGGAATCAAACAATATGTGATCTTTGTGTTTGTCTACTTTCAATTACCTAATGTTTTGAGGGTCACCTATGCTATAACATCTCTCTTTTTTATTGCTGAATAGTATTCCATTGTATGGATTCACCACATTTTGTTTACCCACTCCCTGGTTGAAAAATATTTGGGTTTTTTCCCACATTTTGACAATCATGAACATGCTGCTATGATCATTTACACTGAAGCCTTTGTGTGGACATATGTTTTCATCTGGGTTGGATAAACACCCAGAAGTAGAACTGCTGGGTCATATGGTAAATCTATGTTTAACTTTTTTGAGAAGCTGCCAAATTGTTTTCTAAAGAGACTGTAACATTTTACATATCTACCAGCCATGAATGAGGCCTCCAGGTTCTCTGTATCCTTACCAACACTTGTTATTGTCTTTCTTTATGATGATGATCATCATTGTGGATGTGAAGTGATATCTCATTGTGGTTTTAATTTGCATTTCCCTAATGATTAACTGTACTAAGCATCTTTCCATGTGCTTATCCATAAATCTTCTCTGGTAAAATATCCATTCAAATCTTCTGATCATTTTTTAAATTTGGGTCACTTCTCTTCTTATTGAGTTACAAAAATCATTTATGTATTTGGGATACAAGTCATTTGCCAAATATATGATTTAGATATTTATAAATTAAAAAAATAAAAGTTAAAAAGTGCCAGCATCTAATACAGTGTCTGGAATATATTAACCTCATCATGAACACTTGCCCCCTCCCCTATCACACAGTTCCCTCCCTGACTCAGCTCCCAACAAAATTAAACTGCAGTCATACTGATTCCTGTAAAGAAATTCTATTGCTCTATTTCTCAAGTAAATATTGGCCATTACCATGAAAGAAATCCATTCTGTTTTTGTTAACTTCTCGAAGGTATCTCTTGCCTTTTGTAAGTCCACATCAATGGAAATCGTTTCTACGAGGTCTCTTTGGATACAAGAAATGTAAAAACAAAAAACAAACAAAACACATAAACAGATGGAAAAGAATATTTCTAAACTTCATACATATTTATCGTCTTATTTTACTAGTTAGCAGATAAAAACTTTTTTCTTACAGCTTGCCTCCTTTCAAAATAATTTACTTGCACAAAAAAATTTTATAAAATTTATATTCTCCTAAGAGAGAGTAGGTAACAATTTATTATCTCTAAAGTGGCTACAAGCATGGGCTGCAATAATAGCAAAATTATATATATGCTGCATCTGAGAACTGAAACCATTCCCCTGCACTCAGCCCGGTATACTGAGAACTGAAACTACCCACCCCTCTCCACACCTTACCATCTACATCTACATTACTTTAGGATTCCACTGTTTCATTAGCATGACTTCACTATTCCAAGAGACCCTAAGCCCAGGCAAGTGGTTTGATTGTCCATTATAGGAACCTCCTGAAAAGACCCATTAACTCCTCAATGGAAAGCATTAATATATGCCCTAAGATTCTTTGAATCTCTTGCCTCAAAGTCAATGCCTTGCTGTTTCCAACCATCCTGGATCATTGGATCTTTTCCCAATCCTAATCAAGTCCCCAGCTGCCCCCTCCCAAACTGAAAGACCTGAAGCTTTATCTAGGTATTGTTCTTTCCTGGGTTGTGTTGGTGCTATCTGAAGAGACTCCATCTGTCAAACGACTCGTTTTTATAATGTTCTTATCAAGAAATATTTTATGCTTGCTGAATTAATGGATCAATAGTAATACCAGGGCTAAAATATTTATGCAAGTACTCAAAGTACTGTAAATCTCCCCTTAAAATATATTGTCCTTTGCCATCGTTAGCATCTTAAAACCAAGCCTTGAGGTTCATCACTCCTGGGAGGATACTACTCCACTTTACAAAGGTAATATTCTTCACGTGGAAAATATTCTGTATGCAGAAAGATTAGCCTGAGGCTAGAGAAGGGAAGAAAGAGGAAATGTTGTATGGCAGAGTCCCTGTCCCTCACTTCTCTCCTGGAAGCATGGCAAGAAGAAAGCAAATGGGAGAGGAAGAAGGCAGAGGGAAGCAGTGTCTGATTTCTCTTCTCTCACCCTTGACCAGGATGTGTGGGGATAAATCGGGATGCTTTTTAGGACTCTAGAAAGACACTGCCTCATGTGCTGCCAGGGGGAAGCCATGGCATTCAGCCTCCCTGGGTTTCTCTGGTTCCGAGGTGAGGTTGTTGGACTCAACAGTTCCTCCAGTCCCCTTAAAGAGTGAGAGCTCCCCGCGTCGCATTGCCATGGCTGCCCGTGGTGGCGTCGCCGCTGCCGGCGAGGGTCTGCGCTACGCCGAGTCCTCGCCGCCGGCGACCACACGGCCGGATGCGGACATCGACCAGGGACTGGCAAGAAGTTTGATAGCTGTAGGAGTGGGTGTTGCAGCTCTTCTATTTTTCAGGTCGCTATGCATTTCAAATCTGGAAGCCTCAAGAACAAGTAATCACAGAAACGGCAAAGAAGATTTCCACTCCTAGCCTTTCATCCTACTATAAAGGAGGATTTGAACAGAAAATGAGTAGGCGAGAAGCTAGTCTTACTTTGGGTATAAGCCCATCTGCTGGCAAGGCCAAGATTAGAACAGCTCATAGGAGAATCATGATTTTGAATCCCCCAGATAAAGGTGGATCTCCTTACTTAGCAACCAAAATAAATGAAGCAAAAGACTTGCTAGAAGCAACCACCAAACACTGACTGATGCTTAAGAATCATTCTGAAGGGGAAGAAAGGGGGGAATATAAAACAAAAAAGTCCTGCAAAGCAGTCTAAACCACGGTGTTCATAATTTTCATACATGTACTGACCACAATCATTTACTCCACTATAAAGGTAAAGATGAACAATCTTAAAAAAGAGAGAGAGAGAGAGAGTGACAGTGCAGCTGGGTTAAAAACCAATGGGACAACTGGGGGTTACAAAGAGCCAAAGAACACATGCAACCCGGGTTAAGTGAGTGCCACCTACTGGCCAGGAGGGGGCACAAGATGGGTATAACTATCTTCAGAATCTGCGAGGCAGTTTGGGGCCTACTCAACAGGGAGGGATGAGACCTGAGCTAGTGGGGGAGGACTGGACTGAGTGATATGTGCTGCAGACACACCAGCAGGGCATCAGCCTCCAGAGAAGGCAGAGGGCAGCCTAAGGGCCCCTTCATGCTACTATCCCCTTTCTCCCTTAAATACTGTTCAATTTAAACAAGGAGGCCATTACACTGAGGGGGCTCTATCACTATGGGGGCCTATGTAAGCAAAAAATCTAAGCCCGTAAATACCTAAGTTATGAAATCAAAACCTAAGGACAACCAGTCACAAACAGCCCACTACGCTCTGAGCTATAGCCAGTCAATTAATCTCTTTTCTTTGTTTCTGCAACTTCTCTACATAAGTCTTTCCTCTAGCTCCTGTTGGTGGAGCACTCCTAACCACTTCAGTTTGGTGCTACCCAGTTTGAAACAGTATTTGCTTAAAAAAACCTTGAAATGTTTCATATGCCTCTGTTTCTCTCTTAACCGTTCCCAGGCACAGTATTGTAAAGCATAAAGGGAAGGGAAGAAATACAAGACCGAATGTTGAGCACTTCACAAGAGAGCTGTTAGTATGACTGGATCAGACACCAAGTAGAGAAATCAGATTTTCCTCTGTAGTAGTGAACCTAGTTCAAGATAAAATAAATAGCAATATATGTTAAGAAAAAAAAGAAGAAGAAGAAAAAGATAGCAGGAGGGGAAGAATGAAGGGGAGTAAGTCGGAGGGGGAGACGAACCATGAGAGACGATGGACTCTGAGAAACAAACTGAGGGTTTTAGAGGGGAGGGGGTGGGGGGATGGGTTAGCCTGCTGATGGGTATTAAAGAGGGCACGTACTGAATGGAGCACTGGGTGTTTTACACAAACAATGAATCATGGAACACTACATCAAAAACTAATGATGTAATGTATGGTGGTTAACATAACAATAAAAAAATTATTAATAAAAAAAAGATAAAATAAATAGAATCTATTTTCCCTATTGCTGGATTCCCCTATCGATCCCACCACAAAGAGAACTGCAAAGTGCTGCCTTGGCCTCTAAGTACTAAAGCAACATTAGAAGGATCACTCATGGACACAAAGATCCTGAAAAAAACACCATTCCTTGTTGTCAGGTAACAGAGGAGGACAGGGCAGTGTGTGAATTAGGAATTACAACTTACAGTGGTCTCGCAGAAAATTCCTTTACAAAATGGGAGAATTCTGTAACAACCTTTGGAGTTTTCTGTGTTGGACTTATTGTTCATAGATAACATAATATACAAATTAAAATGACTGACTTGAAACATTTCATTTTAAATATTTCTCAATGTGTCCCCCCCCCCTTTTTAAATGAAGATAAGTCTCATGTAAAAATTACCTTTTCTTTAAAAAACTTGCAGTCAGACAAGCAGGAGATGAAAATATCTTCATAATTTCACTGTAAAAGTAACAACACACTTGTTAAGTCATAATGTACTATAAAGCATCCCTCCTCTTATATCCAACTATACAACTGAGGACATGGAATCATTAAGGAAAACAACTACTCTCCTATAAGTCTTCCAAATTCTGGACATATTTTGTGCTGATAAATCTCCCCCAAACCCTTCATAGTTGATTTTACCAAGTCATGGATTTAAATAAAATCCATCCTTCTGAAAACAGAAACTTAGGGTGCCCCAGAGTATAAACTCTGAAGATACAAAAGAGTGCACTTCAATGAGGGCTTTGTAAGAGACAACATGTTTTTGATTCACTCCTGCATCTCCCGTGGCTATCAAGGTGCCTGGGAACTCTATGTCCTCAATATAGCTGTGTTAAGTAAATGACGAATGAATGAGATCATCAGTGACTTCTTCAAACTTTGAGGTGGTAGAAGAGAATCATGGTTAAAATGCACACGCCTTCACAGCAAAGCCAAACCTTCTGTCTTATGTTTAGGATAAAATGACCCCATGGCTTCAAAACCAAATATTTGATTTATAACTTATCCAACAGAGCGACCTCTTAGTCACTTGACGTTCAGTGCTTCCTGTTGCCGCTGCTATCCATTTATCCATCAGGGACTGGTTAATTTGACTTATTTCTGGCAGGATTTTCCTGGAAACATCTGTGGAACTGGTATCCTTCATGGAAGAAAAAAAATGATCAGGAAAACATACCCACATGCTGAGGAATAAATAACACTGCAAAGCTTGTGGCAGGTGGTAGGTAGGCCCCACCCTCTCTGATGTAGGGTTTGGTGAGAAGAGTTATGTCCTCAGACTGACCTGGCTTTTCCAGTTCCGAGCCTTGGCTACTTGGCTTGGTCTGAGCCTTAGTTTTGTCATTTAAAAATGGAATGACACAAAATAATTGAAAACAGGGACTCATCCAGATACTTGTACACCAATATTCACTGCAGCATTATTCACAATAGCCAAAAAGGTGGAAACAGCTGGTGTCCAGTGACAGTATCCACAGATGAACATGGTGTATACGTGCAGAAGAATATTCAGCCATAAAAAGGGAAGAGATTCTGATACATGCTGAAACATGGATGAACTTTGAAGACATTATGCTAAGTGAAATAACCCAGATACAAAAGGACAAATATTGTGTGATTCCACTTATATGAAATTGGCAACTTCATAGAAAGTAGATTAGAGATTACCCAGGGCTGGGGGCAGTCATGGAATAGAGACTTATTATTTAATGGTTACAGAGTTTCTGTTTGGGGTGATAAAGTTTTGGAGATGGATAGTGGTGATGGTTGCACAATACTGTGAATGCAATTAATGACACTAAATTACATACTTAAGAACAGTTAAAATAGAAAATTTTATGATGTGTCTGTGTGTGTGTGTGTGTGTGTGTATTTTAACCACAATAAAAAAATGAGATAATAATACCTACCTCTCTGGACTCCTGTTAAGATTAAATGACATTAGGTATACAAAGCCTTTGGATTATAGTTGGTATTCAGTAAATACTAGTTTCTTTCTCCCCTCTAATCACCCATAGATTTTTACTTTTAGATCAGTGGTTTCCAAACTTTAGCATGCAACAGAATTACCTGGTGATCTTGCTAAAGCATAGACTGCTGAGCCCATCCCCGCAGTTTCTGATTTAGGAGTGGAGCTCAAGAATTTCCATCTGGCAAATTCCCAGATGATGCTGCTGCTCTGGTGTAGGGACCACACTCTGAGAACCATGGTTCTAGGCAGTACTTGAAACCAAATAGCTCGGGGCGCCTGGGTGGCTAAGTCGTTGGGCATCTGCCTTCGGCTCATGTCATAATCCCAGCATCCTGGAATCGAGCCCCGCATCGGGCTCCCTGCTCCGCGGGAAGCCTGCTTCCCTTTCCCACTACCCCTGCTTGTGTTCCCTCTCTCGCTGTCTCTTGCTGTCAAAAAATAAATAAAATCTTAAAAAAAAAAAAAGAAACCAAATGGCTCAGTGAGTGGTGTCAGAAATCACTATATGGAAAGAAAAAACCTGTCTTTTAATAATAGCCTTCCAAAGACATTAGTGCTCTGCTCCATGTTATACCTCGGCCTCCAATGAACTTGTAATAAGTCAGGAAGTTCTTTTTTTGGAAGTAACCTCTATCTATGCCCAACATGGGGCTTGAACTCAAGACCCCGAGATCAAGAGTCACATACTCTACAAACTGAGCCAGCGAGGCACCCCATGAGTCAGGGAAGTCTTCACCGTTTTTATTTAATGCTTAAATAAAGACCTCCGGAAAAAAATGTGTAACCATGACTTCTGAAGTTCCCTTCAGCTTCTTGATCTGAGCCCTGGGTGTCCCCTCTAATTCAATCACGAGAGTGCTTGTATTCCCCCCCGACACGGCTGGAAACTTAGGACAATGAGGTGCTCCCTATTGGCACTTACATACCATTTCTTCTACTCTCTTCAAAATCCCAGCTCCTCTGAAGTAATCATCTCCCAGTGTCCTGGTCGCTACCGTTCAACACTGAAAACTTTAGTACCTTGCTGTCTTCCTCGGCACTGCCATGCTTGTTGTCATGCTTCCTGTAATTCTTGGCAACTACAGAACTAATAAACAGGATTTATTTCCCACCCTGATCTCTCAAGTCTTTTTTTTTTTT